TTGCATACAAAATAGCAACGTTAAATATATATATTATATATATTCATTATTCATTGCATGTTAACATGCAAAATGAATAAACATATAAAATATATATATAACTAGTCATGCATGCAGTACATTCAAAACAAAAGAAAGAAGTGAAAGCCATCTTTCGTTAATGTATATATTAATACTTGTTATGCATGTGAACTTTCATTATTTTCATTTGGTCGAAAGGAGCCAAATAGCCGAAAGTTCATCATACGAAAGTTCATCATATAGCCGAAACTTCAACCATATGAAAACATATTTCCCAACTTACTTTCTACCAAACTAAAATAATATTTATAACTCCACAACACCAAATATTATTTAAGCTTTTCATGGTAGTTCATCTGAACCATTAACTCTCATTACTATATAAATCTCTAACATTTCTCAGTGCAATTATTGGAGCTAATCCGTCATACTGTTGGCGTTCAATTCTAGCAAGTCAAGATTTATTAAAGCGTGGGTGTGTACGAAGGATTGGGAATGGCAGATCCACAAATGTCTGGCATCACCCCTGGATTCCGGATGAGAATCCTTTTGTCCTCACGCCTTTATCCGGCAATGATGAAGAGGTGAAGGTGGCCTCTCTGATTAATGAAGTTACGAAGGACTGGGATGTTGCGGTTTTGAACACTGTTTTGGAGCCCCGTGACGTGAGTCTCATTATGCAAATTCCAATCTCTCCACAATTCGAGGATCAATGGTGTTGGAAAAATTATTTGAGAGGCCTTTACTCGGTAAGAAATGGGTACCGACTACTCTCGGAGGTACATGATTAGAACCAGGCGGCAGTGCAGCTTGGAGACATCTCTGGAAATTGAAAGTCCCCCCGCATGTTCGTAATTTCTTGTGGCGTTGCATGAATGGGGTGCTTCCGACGCTATCTGCGTTAACTGGGAAGCGAGTGGAGCTTGATGCTACTTGTCCTCTTTGCCACCAAGAATTAGAAAATGTACTACATTTATTCTGTGAGTGCACGACTGTTGTCCCTCTTTGGTCGAATTACGTAGAATGCAGTCTGCCACCAGTTGGTAGTGATTTTACTACCTGGGTGTCGAATGGCTTGATGAGTGGGTCTTCAACAGCGAAAATTATGTATGTAACTATCTGTTGGTCAGTTTGGCAGGGAAGGAATGAGGTTGTTTGGAATCAAGCTTCTTGGAAACCTACAAGGGTTAAGCATGCGAGTCATAATCTGGTGAATTTTTGGCAAGAAGGCTTAGGGGCGGCTTCAGGTTTTGGAGTGAATGGTGATATGAACTTAGAGGTGGCATCTGCAGGTATGTCAGTCCATCGTATATTTGTTGCGGCGAAAGGTGGTCCTCTTCGATGCTTGAATAATGCCCATCTCGCAGAAGCTATGGCGATCAAGGAGGCTCTATCCTGGGCTAAAGAGAGACATATGCAGTGAGTGATTATATATTTGGATTGTCAGTTGGTATGTAACTTGCTAAATGGTTCATTGCAAGATTTTTCTTTTGCAGGTTGTATTCTTCGTGAATGTCGAGAGTTAAAACGACACTTTGAAGTATTGTTTATTCGGTATATTGCTAGGTCAGTGAATAAGGTTGCTCATGCGTTGGCTAGGGCGTCTCGTTCTTTTACTGATCCCATTAGTTGGGTTTCTTCCGTTCCAGATTGTATTGCTCTTTTGATTTAATAAAAGTCTTGTTGGGTGGTTTTCAATAATAATAATAATAATAATAATAATAATAATAATATGCAACATTTTAAACATGAATGTACGTATGGGCAATTCAAAAATTGCTGTGAGACCGTTTTACGAGTCCTTGTCTATGAGATAGGTTGAGTCAAGATCAAATATAATTCTTGTACGTACGAAATAATACTAATAACTAAATATAATACTAAATATATGAGAAAGAGTGTAATACTTTTGAAGAAAAATGTAATACTTTCATATTTTGATTTAAAAGTATTATATTTTTCCTCAAAAGTATTATATTTTACCTTATAAGTAACAAACACTTATTAACATTACTTATAAGGAAAAATGTAATACTGTTGATGAAAAATGTAAAAATATTACATTTTTCCTTATAAGTTAGGAACATTTTATTCATAATTATTATTACATTTTTCAGTATAAGTATTACATTTTCATATTAACCCGACCCATCTCACGAATCCTGATCTGTGAGGCGGTTTCACATAAGTGTGACCCGTACATATGTATTAGTTCTAAAATGATGGACAAAATTTAGGAATATAATATGATCATTCAAACTAAAATAGATAAGATGAAGATGGAATTATTGAACATATTTGGGGTTGGTATGATACTATGATCTGAATTGGTGTAACGCCATAAATGTAGCTAAAAGAGTTGATAAGATGAAGATGGAATATATTTGGGTTTGGTATGATCTGAGTTGGTGTAACGCCATTAATGTAGCTAAAAGAGTAGGCATCAACTATAAAAGGGACATGAATGACATATAGGATTCCAAACCAAACCCAACATGCATCTCTGACTTGGGATTACATGAATGATATATGGGTATCTATGTAATTTTCACTTCCGTTTAGTATTTGAATATTATTTTTAGTTCTTAATTCTTATAGATCTTTCAATGTCATTATTTGTTGAAAATTCAAGAAATTAAAGCTCTTGCTTGAATGATTGAATCAGAAGTAAATGACTGAAAGAAACATGCATTAAAAATGAAAAACAAAAAGTTTGACTCATAATATACACACACACACACACAAATTGTGCAATGCTTTCTAAAATCCAAATTCTAAGTACAATGCACTTTCACATTTTTGCAAGTGCAATTTTTTAATATTAAATTAGTATTTTTACCCGTGCGATGCACATAATGAATTTGTTATAATATTTAATGAATATTTAGATCGATATACAATTATATAAATTATAACATCGAATATTATATAATGCAATTGAAGAATTGAGTTGTATCAACTGTATTTCCTGATGTTATCATTGCTTGAATTCGAGCAAATAATTGTCTAAATAATAGCCAATGTGTAGATGTACGCATCCGGTGTTGAAACTTTAGAGATTTTATATATCAATATTTATGATTTGTATTAAGTGACAAATTTGCTTATTGTCTAGCAACTCAGTTATATAAATCATTTGCTATCCTAATTTATTTATATGGAAGATATATTTTCTTTGTAGATATATATATATCAATTTTGTCATCTTCGCATAAAAAAGAAAACATAATACCACTAGATGGAATTTCACATTATTGAAAACCTCTTTGTAGATGACATTGGTAGTAGCAACAAAATTTTATACATCCTCGTCTAGAGTTAACACATTCAGGCCATCAGGATGGATGACTCAGGAAAAAGACACGTACAATTGACCATTACCCGTTGCATTACTACTAGGAAATCAATGAACTCGGATCCATATGTATCCCATATAATAGATATACTATAGTTAACTAAATTTTAAATGAAAATTAACTAATATCCTAATGAATTGAAAAGGAATAAGGTTCAAATGGGCCACTGAACGTAACCTGAAAATGCAATTAGGCCACTAAACGAAAAAAAAAAGTGCAATTAGGCACTGAACACTCAATTGTACGTGTCTTTTTCCTGAGTCATCTATTAAATTTTATTAAAAATTATTAAAAATACCAATTCAGCTGCCACGTAAGCAGGTAACCTGCTAAAATTGATGGTAACCTGCTAGCAGGTGAAATTGCATATATTTGGAGTGTTCAGTGGCCTAATTGCACTTTTTTTCGTTCAGTGGTCTAATTGCATTTTTTTTTCGTTCAGTGGCCTAATTGCATTTTCATGTTACGTTCAGTGGTCAATTTGAACCTTATTCCAATTGAAAAAAATGAATTTCGGTGAAATTTTCCATTTTTCCATTTTTTCATTTTAAGTACATATTAATATATTACAAAATTTTAGATGAAAAATTCCAACTCAGTTCTAATATATTAGTTAATTTTCATATAAACTTTTAGTCAATATATACTATTAATTTTGTAATACAAATGAGATTCTAATATATTACTTACCATTTATAAAACTTGTTGTAATAGTCCTTTGTTGTACTAATTCATTAGATATTAGTTAATTTGTGGTCAAATCATATCTTTTTTCCGTCATAAATAATAAATCTATAGATTGTAATAATAAAATTGATGATTAATTTTCCAGTTAAATATGAATAGAATAATTTTTTTTGTTTAAAAAAAAAAGATAAAACAAAAATAAATAAGTACTGAATCTATTTAATGGTAATCTTAATTATTGCATATGCAATTTTTAAATATGATGAAAGAAAACTATATATTTTTTATTTTTATTTATTTGACAAATCCGCTATTTTAACATTTTGACCCGAAACAAAAAATAAAAAGAAAAAATCGTTTGGTCCTTCAACAGTTTAGGACAACGGTTTGTTCCAAAGAAAATTAAAATGCTACATTTTGCAGCATTTTAATTTGGTATTTAAAAAAAAAATAACATTTCCCATAACACCTTTGTATTATTTTTTAAAAAAAAAAAAAAAATAAAAACAAACTTATAACTGACGCTATTAAAGGCTCCTTAAATGAAGGATGCTTTTAGGCTATCAATGCTTGCCTAGTACTGATGGGCAAGCAAATTGTTTCGTAAATCATTAAGAAAACAATGCTCCTTTTGTATAGAGGAGCTCTTTGAGTTCCTCTTCATTCAGTAGCGATGTGAGATCAAAGTTGATTTTATATATATATATATATATATATATATATATATATATATATATATATATATTTTGGTATTATTATTATTATGTATTTGAATAAATTATAATTATTCTTATCAAGAATTGAACACTAATGAGTACCACAAAATATGAAACTTTTTTTTTTTCAGTGTACTTTTCATGATGAAATCGTGAAAAAATAAATAAATAAAAGAATGGTCAACGTCAACCGAGCAAAAATGAGACCGTTTCCAGATTTCCCTTACTGGTTCTTGCACACCTTCTCTGACTTGTATTTCTCAACCTTTCTTGGACTAAAATCTTGGAACTTTGGAAGTATTTGTACACTGAGCCACTAAATATACGCATTTTTAACTAATCTGATTGATTAATCATTGTAAATTTCTGCTCATAAACTCTCTTCCTGTCTGTAAATTCTTTTTTTGTGTTGAAGAAGACTCCCCTCCCCCCCATGTTACGTTTCCGCCTTGGTGACCTCAATTCAGCTCATTCGTCCCTCCCTCGATCATTCATTGCTTGAGATCTGTGATTCTCTTCTCCCCACTGGGTATTCTTCAAAACACCTGCTTTCTGTGAGTTCTCCATTCTTTTTGTATATCAAAGTTCTCATCTTTTTTTTTTTTTTTTTTTTTTTTTTTTTTTTTTAGTTTGTGGTAACTATTTTGTACCTGTGTTTGAACATGTTTCTTTTTGAAATTTCATTAGTTCAGTTGTATTTGGTTATGTGCATAGGTGCATTGAATGAAGAAACTGTGTGTTTCTGAGGGGGTTTGACTGAGTTTGAAGCTCTGTGCATTTAATTTTGAAAAGATTTGAGTTTCTGTACTGAGAGGTGAAGAATTTTGCTAAGCTACATATTGTAAAAAAAAATATTTTTGGTGCATACATGTGTAATCTGTGGACAGTGGATGCCACCAATTCTCTTGATCAATCTTAAATGCCAGAAATTGGATGTTTCTTCTCTGTATATTTTGGGGTGACGAGGAAACCCGCAGCCACTACCCGAGAGTGTGCATAGGGTAAACCCCGCCTTGTGACCCTAGCCAGCAAAGGATCACAAGGAGGTAAATTAGCCTAGGTTGCCCATAGCTGACCGGCTCAAACCAAGAGGGCTGGGATTCGAATTTGTGACCTCGTGGTTACAAGTTTGTATCCTTAGTGTATATTTTGGAGTTATATTCTTATGTGTGTTGATGTAAACCAACCATGTTGTCTTCGAACGAAAGAGTGAAGTTGTCTCTGATGGAAATTTGTACTTGATTGCTTTTTCTAGTGGATCGTTCCAACATATTCGGTATAACATAATCTCGTTTGGCATTACAGAAGTTGAAGTAGAGTGTTTGTTTTGCGCTGAAATGCAAATATGGTGGTAAAAGGAGGCATATCCGAGTACAGAGATCGACTTGATAAGACCTTGCTGTCTCAAGATCTTGTAAATGAGGATCTACTTAAGGGCCTTGTTAAGAGTCAGATCATTAGCTCGTTAAACATTGAGAATGAAGGTAAGTTTATTGACTTAATTTGATAATCGTAATCCCTCTGATTGGTCCGTTTTTCACTTGATCAGATTATTGTACGTGTATGCTTTTGTAGAGTGTATTGACAATGTCGTAGAGAGAAGAACCAAGGAAGTACAAAACGTTCTTGGCATGTTGAGGAGCACCTCAGTAACGGATGGCGAGAAGTCGAAATCCTCTGAGCCATCACACGGTTGGAAAGTAGGCTACTCCGTATTGGCTTCTCCTTTTCTATTATTTACTCCCGAAGGGAAATTAGTTACAAACTTTTTTTTTTTCACCTCTTTACTTTTGGCAGATAAAGCAGGATAGTGAAGAATTCCGGGTTATGTATAGAGAAGGACCCGAAGGCACACCTTTTCATACACTTCTTGTTGAAGGCTATGTCGATGGCCCGGTTGATGTTTGTAAGCTAACCTTAAAACTTTGATCCTTTACCGCTTCTTCCTCGAAAAAAAAAAAAAAAAAAATTTCTACCCGTCTATGTAGGAATTTTAAGACAAACAAATAACTATGCAGGTCATTGCATCTCTTGGGAAGCAGACTTATACAAGAAATGGTAAGACGTCTAATTTTGCAAGCACAGTAATTTTCTGAATTAATCTCGATGAACACTTTCATTTTCATTTTATAATTACTTTAACTAATTATGATGGCATGAAAGTTTTGTTGTGCACCTAGATAACGTGCTCCTTTTACTAGAACGTTAGTGCCAGTTTGGCAGAATGGATTAAGAATGTTTCGCCTTTTGATTTACGACATGAGAGGATGAAACGAAGAAATTTTGCTAAAAGTAGAACACTAATGCAAACACAACAGTGTAATTTATGTCTGTTTTATCTGATAATTGATTGTGGACTATATGATTATATTCTTGCATTCGACTTGTCAGGTTGCCGCAAAGTACTATACCGACTTTTAAGATATCCTTCACTCAGTGTTTGCAGAAGATCAGAATCGGTGAACAGATATCTTTAGTAAGGTTTGTGCTCATTTAAAAGTAGAGATTTTTATGTTTACGAAGTCCTTAAAGTTGCTGATGTGTTTCGATTTGTTGGGAAGACAGGATGAAGCTTTCATGGCCGTTATCATCGAGGGAAGCTCTTTTGCATTACTTTGAATTTGATTACTTTCAAGATGGCCTTGTTATAGTGCTCCTAAACTCCGTAAGAATTTAACTTAAAATGATTTTCTTCTAACACAGCGTGTTATTGATGGAAAACTAAATTGAAACTTCGTTTCGATTTTAAGATTTCAGACGTAGAGGGCGTTGATATAAGTACTCACGGATTCTCCAAAGACGGGATACCTGATGCACAAGATGTGGTAAGAATTGATGTGGTGGGAGGTTTTGCCATGCAGAAAGTTACCGCTAATCGGAGCTACTTCCGGTGAGTTTGGCGTTTTTAAAATTTTTCAATTCAAATAGTTTCTGTTATAAACTAAGATTGGGTTAGGATCACTCAATTGGGCTATAATGCACATGGGCAAAACCACACTAAAAGATTGAATCCAGCAAATTGGCTAGTCTAACCCATGGCCTTATAAACCCATATGTTCTCTCTTATTTTATCAATGTGGGACTCTTAACACGTATAGTAATGATCCTGCTGCTTTCTGTTTTGCAGGACCATCGCAAACCTCGATATAAAATTGGATCTTGTTCCTCCAGCGTTCATAAATTTTATTTCGAGGCAGCTCATAGGTAGCGGATTCAAGCTATATAAGAAGGTCAATTCCAGTTCTATAATTGATTTTTCTTCGTTTGTTTCAATATTTGTTGTGGCATTATCTAAAGTCTGGCATTATTTTTCAGGAAGTTGCTTCAGTTACGAGAGGCGACGAAGATTTTAGCAAGGCTTTAAAAGATCCACTGTACAGTCGAGTACGCGAAGCTCTATATTCAGATCATACGTGTAATGGGGCTCCCGTGCTGGAAAACTTGACGGGAAACAGTGATAAACAAGCAAAGGATGAAAGTCGAGACGAAAATGTGAATATGGACCATATTGTGATTAATTCACCAGCAGGTGGAAATGAAAATGTTTCTTGTGAGATTGAGGAAATTGATGAAGAAGATGGCGAGAAGAGCGAGAATTTACCCAAGGACGATAGGGAACAGTGTGATTCCCCGAGCAATCCCGTATTACACAAGTGTTTCAACAGCAAAAGCAACGAGGTTGTTATTAGTCGTGACGTCCAACAAGCACTGGCAACACTAGAAAAGGCCATTGCTTTCATACGCGAAAATCAGTTGGATCTGGATGCCCGGCCCTCTTGTGGAGCCAACGCAAAGAAACCACTAGGCACGGTGGACAAGCACGATGTAGAAGAAGTAAAATTTTCAGCTGAATTACCCGGAAAGGAATCAACCGAAACAACCTCCTCGTATGAACATAGTAACAGCTACAGCAGTCGCGGCTCGAGGTAAATCTCGTTTGCTGCGTGGATTACTTTCAACAAAGCTCACTTTAATTTGTCATATACACTTAAGTGACTTAACAACTCCCATGTTAGTTTCACTATACTAGAGCCTAGAGGTGTCAAACGGTCGGGCTTGAGCCGGCCCGCCACTAGCATGTTTATTTTTTGGACCGGGTTGGCCTAGTCCAATTAAGCCCGGTCCAAAAATAAAAATTAAAGTCCGGCCCAGTCCATAGCCCTAAAAATTTAAAAATAGAATTAAAATTTATATATTTATGTATTCCGTCTAAATTAGTTTTACAAGTTCACATCTTTTTTTCAACTATTTAACTTAAAGAAATATTACAAGAAAATAAAGAAAATAAATTTACAAATTGCAACTACTAACTACTAATTAGTAGGGTAATTTTTTCAATTTAAAACAAATAAAATTTTACAACTTTAAAATATTTTAAGGTAGTAATTACTAATTAGTATGCTAGTTAGACAGTTAACTAGCTAAATAGTAAAATACGAAAATACGTAAAAAATTAATAGGCATAGAACCAATATCACAATTTCTAATGTAATAATATCATGAGCTATTACTCTATTAGAGTATATATGTATATTATATTTTTTAAAAAATGTACAGTCTAACGGGCCAGACCAGGCCAACCCGGTCCATGCGTCAAAAATTAAAATCCATCCCTGTTCGTAATATAAAACGGGCTAGCCCTAGTCCGCCTATTGTAGCAAATGGACCGGACCAGGCTGGATCAAACGTGTTGGGCCTGTACTGGACTTTGGGCTAGCGGTAATCCTCAAAATATAGACCCTCAAGCCTCGTATAAATAACAGTTAGTAAGAGGAAACTCATTTTCGTCTGGTCAGCCAGGATGTGTGTTCTTTAGAATCATTTGATTAGCTATAAAAAGCGTTAGCATCAATGCCGCTTGTTTTTTCAGGCGTATAAGCTCTAGCTTGTGCACGAGGGAAACGAACCATAATAAGATCGCACCAGCTTCACCAGACGTTTATATTGCCAATCCTAGCGAGACTCGAGACGTTGTTTCACATTCCCCAGAAGATCAAAGAGAAGAGGAGACAATTTTGGAGAAAACATTGAAGAGTGATCATTTAAGCAACATCACTAGTGAGAATCGCATTGGTAGAAAAAAACCCAGAAAACTGAAGAACAGGTGTTTTTCCTTTCTTCCTGGGAGGGGAATTGCTTAAGAAAGTAGCCTCTCTGAATTGCATCATGGAGAAATATAGGGTCAAAATCTCTTGGATCAAGTTATTATATATGGTTACAGATTGTCAGAGTTGTAGGTATATATATATATGTATCTAAAGTTCAATAGGAAAGCTTATTTGATCATAAATGGATTCGAAAATGTAATCTTATAAACAAAATTTTGGAGTCCTCATCCAGGGCTGAAATCTTGGTGTTTTTTTTTTTTGGGAAATTGTATTAAAATAATGTCTTTTTGAATTTCTACAGGATTATTATTTGTTTCTGATTCATATGCACACATTTAAAATTATTTATTGAATATTCATAAATTATCTAGAAGCTTTAAAATTTGGTTCTCTGATCTCAACACAAGGGTGAAGAAGAAAATAACAAGGTACAAGGGACACAGTCCTTTAAGGGTTTTTTTTTTAATGTAATATCGATGAATAATTTAAACTTGTGTGATTTCTTAACTATTATGTGTACCTATAGTTTAATGTGGATTGCGAGTATCATAACTGTACTTTGTTTTTCATTTTTGAGAATATAATTCTTTTAAATTTGTTTTAAGTGTTGTGTTTGTGTAATTCAATTTTAAATTACATTAAACCTTGACTAAATTGTATGTGAGTTTTGGGTAATTGACCATAGTAGTGGCTTTTAGTTTAGGCACCACAAGCACACTATGGGGTGGGGATGATAACTATAAATGAACAGCTATTACAACTGTACAGACTAGGAAAATATATACAAGAGAGAATCATAGAAAGACTAGGATAGAGAGTCATAATATGATTCAAATACATAGAGTCCTAATACTAGTCTTAATACTCCCCCTCAAGCACATGGTATACTGGTAACTTGTAGCTTCTCTCTAAGAAAAGAAAATCTAAGATTACGTAAAGCTTTAGTAAAATGTCTGCAAGTTAATCTTTCGTAGAGATGAAATTAACTTGAATGTCTCCGGAAGAACCTTTATCTCGAACGAAATGGTAGTCAATTTTCATGTGCTTGGTACGAGCATTAAGATGAGATTTGCACACATATAAGTAGCAGCAAGATCATCACACCATAATTTTGGAACAGATATACCTGACACTTTAATCTCACGCAGCAAGGAGACTATCCATGTTACTTCAGCACAGACATTTGCTAGAGCTTTGTATTTTGCCTCAGTAGAAGATCTAGCAACAGTTCTTTGTTTCTTACAGACCCATGAGACGAGATTAGATCCAAGAAATACAGCAAAACCACTAGTGGACTTGTGGTCCCCAGGACATCCAGCCCACTCAGAATCAGAGAATGCATGGAGTTCTTTTGAGACTGACTTTCTTATACGCAAGCCAAAATTAACTGTTCCTTTAACATACCTCAAGACTCGTTTTAGGTGCCCCCAATGAGATATTGTAGGAGCGTGCATGTGTTGACACAACTGATTGACTTCAAATGATAAATCTTGATGTGTTATAGTAAGATATTGTAGTGCTCCTGCCAGACTTCTGTATTGCGTATGATCATCATATAAATCTGCACTTAAGGGAATAGATTTCGAAACAGAGATAGGAGTAGATAATGCTTTACATTCTGCCATTCCAACACGTTTCAAAATATCATTCATATATTTCTGTTGCGAAAGTAAAATTCCATCATCACATTTAATTGTCTCAATCCCAAGAAAGAAACCAAGTTCACCAAGATCTCTAATCTTAAAAGCAGTAGATAATTATGTTATTAAACGAGTCACAAGATTCTGATCACTCCCCATCACAAGTATATCATCAACATAGACCAAAAAATACACATAGACAGAGTCCTGTGAGTAGTAAAATAATGATACATCCGTTTTTTATGCTTGAAACCCAACAGAAAGTATAAATGTATGTAGACGATTAAACCAAGCTCTAAGAGCCTGTTTTAAGCAATACAAAGAGCGTTTAAGTAAGCAGACATGATTGAGATACTGAGTATCAATATAACCAGGTGGTTGTTTCATATACACAGTTTCAGATAGATTTCCATTTAGAAAAGCATTGTGGACATCGAGCTACCTAATAACCCAATCAGAAGATAAAGCCAAGGAAAGAAGCAACCTGACAGTTGTGCGTTTTACCACTGGGCTGAATGTGTCAAAGAAATCATGTCCTAGTACTTGATTGAACCCTTTTGATACTAATCTTGCTTTGTGTCTCTCAATAGAACCATCTGTCTTTCATTTAGTGCGAAAGACCTACTTACACCCAATAATATTCATACCAGTCTGAGATGGTACGAGATACCATGTTTTATTCTGTATAAGGGCATTGAATTCCTAGTCCATAGGCTCACGCCATTCTGGATGTTTTACTGCATAAGTGTAACAAGTGGGATCTGGGGGACAAACCTGAGCACTCAAAGCTGTAGGTGGTGCTTGAGACCGACTACGAGTCTCCATCGTGTGGTAGATTTTACTGACTTTTCTCGCGGACGCCCCCTGGGTCGAGTGGCGACAAAAGGTGCTGCTGAAATTTGTTGTTGAACGGGCTGATCATGCCCGCTGGTGTCACCCACGGGATACCCAGGCCCGTGAGGGGCTCCCGCGGGGTCATCTACACCCGCAGGGTGTTCTGACATAGGCGATGGCACGGTAGTTTGCTGTAGGATCGATTCTGCCCATGGAGTGGTTTGAGGAGCCTGTGGTGTCTACAAAATATTTTTAGTAGCAAAGGGAAAGATAGCCTCATCAAACCGCACATCTCTGCACATATAAACCTTATTAGTCTGTAAGTCCATGCACCTATAACTTTGGAATGACTCAGGATAACCTAGAAAGACACAGGAGAAGATCTGTAGGACATCTTGTGGCGATTATATGGTCGCAAATAGGGATAACATAGGCACCCAAAGACACGAAGAAATGAGTAGGATAAAGGGGATTTATGCAACTTAAGATGAAGATTGCAGTTATTTAAAACAGTAGATGGCATTTTGTTAATTAAATATACAGCAATCTCAAAAGAAAAATCCCAGAATTTATACAGAACAGAGACATGAGTAATGAGAGTTAGACCCGTTTCAACTATGTGTCTATGTTTTCTTTCGACACAATCATTTTGTTCATGAGTGTAGGCACAAGACTGTCGATGAGTGATTCATAATTGAATAAAGGATAAGTGTAATTTTTTGTATTCAGCTCCTAGATCAGATTGAATGGATTTAATTTTTCTATTGAAGGAACACTCAACCATAGTATGATATTTTTCAAAGATGACATAAAGATCATATTTTAATTTCATGGGATAATACCAAGTGTAACAGGAGTGATCATCCACGAAAATAACAAAGTAACGATAGTCATCAGTGGATAACAAAAGAGCTGGACCCCAAATGTCTATGTATGTTCAGATGCTTGGTGTGTGGATTAAGTTCAACAGATATAATGAAGAAAAATTTTGGAAGCAAAAAAAACAAATGCCAAAATAAAAAGGTCAACAACTAATTTAGTGGAAGTTTTACCACTTTACATTTGTCTTAACTAGCCAACAAAATAACAAATGCCTTTTGCCAACCAACAACTTAGCAAGCTGGACAAAAAAAAAAATCAAGTTTAGTGGATGTTCTACCACTTTACAACTTAGTAATAAAAATCAGCAAAATATTTTCAGTATTTGCTAACTTCCAAAACAGAATATCAGCTTCATATTTACAGTGCTCACTTGATTGATCAGGCTACAACAAAGAATTTTAAATATTACAGAAATAAAATTAAAGAAATATATAAAAATAAAATAATTGAGTAGGACACCTTTCTTATCTTTGTTAGTCTGGTAGGACACCAATCCTAGTAGGACACCGTCTTTTATTATGGTCTGAATTCTTACATATTGAACATCACATTTCTTTTCCATTCTTTGACAACTTTAGCTTACCACATGCAATGGTAGTGCCACTAGTAGTAGTGGTACCATTGCCACGACTTTATGGAACTTCACTGGCCTCACGATTTCTTTTCGTTTAGGTCTTCCTGACATTTTTTTTTTTGGGAATTGGACCCTCTTATCTCTTCACATTGAGTTTTTGGCCAAAATAATTCGCCATTCATAGGTTCAAGTGAATGTGCATATGTCCTTATGTATACTTTTTTTGAGTAACATGTATCAAGGTAACCCTCCGGATCTCTTCCTTGATCAAAGATGGCACATATTGCATGTGCACAAGGTATACCACTCAAATCACATGACCTACATGAGCAACTTCTATTTTCAAGTTTAACCTTGAATTGGTTTCTCCCATTCATAATCTCATACCCATAATCTCCATTAAAATCAACCTACCATCAAATATAATAAAAAATACAAGATACATACTAAATACAACACACCAAAGTGAGTAGATCAGATAACACCACATACTTACCTTCCACCCAACATTCTCAAGTATATTATGATTAAGCTTCTTCATTATCAATGGTCAATGATTTCCAGTCCACCTCTCAACAGACTTCATCTTTGTTGCAACCTCCTCATTACCCCAACTCGTATATATGTCTTCAAGCATTGGAATGATAGGTTTTACTCTTGCGTTCACTAGAGTGCTATTGAATGCCACACATAGATTATTGTCAACAATATCACACTTGACATTTGTTCTAAAGAAAGCTTTACACCGCAACCTTAATGGGTACCTTAGTAATCATTCAATGCTATTAGTTTAAAATACAATGGGCAGAAAATCATATGGCCACAGTATAATAATATTGGACAGAATTTTCATAATGCAATTTGGAACATGAATATACCTTTCTATGCTCCACCCACACCCACCCTGATGCCAATTTGTGCGGCTTCCGCAGGCTGGATTTAAGTTTCCTTCCCTGTCCCCAAGGTGGCATAACTGTAGTGCGTGCTTCTTGTGGTGATTTAATTCTATGCTCCACCACCATCTCCCAAACCACCAAGTTCTATGTCTGTAATCAGCTAACCAAGCAGTGGGCTGCTCTTCCTTCTGGCCCCCAATTCCAAATCCAATTGATTGAGTGGGTCATAACGGCCTATGGCTTTCTTCGCCTTCCTGCTCCCTGTTCACTTTGCAGCCAATGTGTAGACAATTCTCGCTATAATTTTGTGGTGGCTCAATTTTGTATTTATCCACGTTCTTATTTCCAAGTCGGACTTCACCTCTTCTCCTCTCAGGAAGGTCAATGGAAAACTCTTGTGGTTTCATTACCGCGGCGCTTGAGGTTTTCAGTCCCCCACTATAATAAAGGAATATTATCTTCTATGCCCCTTGTCCCTTATAAAGGAATGTTACATTGGCTGATCTCTGATTTTTTTATTCTTGTGTATGATCCCCGGGGGCGGAGCCACCCCTACCCCAAGGGGGGCCCTGGCCCCCCACCCCACCCCCATTTTTAATAAATATATAGGTATATATTATTATAATATGGATAAATTATACTTTTGGCCTCCCTCCTAATTTTTTTTTTTAAAAAAATCTATTATGTATATATTAAATGAACTCGAAAGTTACACTTTTTGTCCCTAAGTTATGAGATAATTGTAGAATTCGTCCATAATTGTTGGTCGTGTTCACTTTTCGTCTCTAAACTATAATTAACGTTGAAAATTTCGTCATTTAAATGACATGTTGTGGTCACTCTTCCTTTCTAAGCTATACTTCGTTCTTAATGTTTTGTTAGTAAAGGGACGAAATTTGCAACATCAATTGCGAAGTATATTTTAGGGACGAAAAGTAAGCATGACTAATAATTATGAATTCTTCAATTACCCTATAACTTAGTGGTTAAAAGTGTAATTTTTCCTATTTTTTACTATTGTATAATTTGTGTTATGTAAAAAAAATTCAAAAGTAATGTTTGACAATCTTAACGATCGTACTCATATAATTATATATTTCATATATTATTGTACATAGTATAATTAAAAATAATTATCAATAATAATTGGCACAATCATATATGGTATATATATAATAATATTGTGTGGTTGGTACTAATATCAACTAAGATAATAAATTTCTTCTATAAATTTGGCCCCCCAACCCCAGCTTTCTGGCTCCGCCACTGATGATCCCTATACTTGCCCTGGAAAATTTTCTCGTTCAATTGATATGCCAACTTGTTCTAATATCGCGGACTACCAAACCATTGGAATATTTCAAGATCGTCTTCGTGCAACATGCATTGGGGGTTGTAACCGCTATGAATTTCCCATACATTATATATGGGAGCTGGAGGACTACAACATGGGGAACTGGAGTTTGGTGCACAAGATTTACGTTAATGAAATTCCACGTCTCTTGAATCTCCTGGATCTTGATCTTGATCCTAAAATTAGAGAGACAGGATTTCACCACCGTGATATATGGAAGTGCTTTTTATTGGACTGATTCGGTTGGGTGGTCAGTTAGTAATGGGATTGCCCATTCAATTACTGAGCAATGGTGGCCAACACCCGTGACACCACTAACTTAACTTGCACGATTAAAAGTAAGTTGAAAAGTATCAGTTTCATACAATATCTTTCTAAAGATTTCTATGACCGTTTTTCCCATTCTAGTTTCCTTGTGATAGTTGCTCTTTGCTTCTTATTTAATATATATATATATATATATATATATATATATATATATATATATGGCATATAATTTGTATAGCTGGCTCAATAGCTAACACATTTTATTTGGATTATAGTTGTATCAATAATATTGAATTTGGATATTCTTTTCTTTCAATCCTAATATATTTACATGTTATAGTTGCAGATAATGAAAATACTCTTGGGAATTCATAGAAAAAAAAAAACAAAAAAAAAAAGAAGGTGAAAGGTAGATATAGAGTTTTGTCACCTTCTCCCCATCTATTAGAAAAAGACAAATTTGAAAATTTTTCTTATTTCATTAATTTTATATGGAGTTACATTTCTTAGTATTGTTTTATTGATCTACCCCTTTGTGGGATTCATGTAATTTGAGGCCGGAGAGAAAATATAGCTCACTTGACTTCTATTTTATTGATGAATGATGATTAAAACAACTTCCATGATTTGTTAATGATATGATATGATTTGTTAACTTGACTTCTTATTTCCATTGTTGTTTAAGTTCTATAATTCTTAGTTGCGCGGGTGAAGAAAATTAAAGTTAGTATCCACCTTTACATTAATGTTTCAATTAGGATGAGACATCTGATGGTTCATTAACACTTTCTTGCTCCCTTATGGGTGTTTGGTTGGATCATGGATGTAGTTAGAATTCATTTCTTACTTTATTCCGTGGCACAAAATTACAATTTCCTTCTTTTGCTGAATTGCAATTCGGTGATTGTGAGAATGGAAAAAATAAAAGCGTGAAAATGACAAAAGTTGTTTTATTACTACTATTTGTAATCATTATAAGAAAATAATATATATCATAATAATAAAAATAATTAGAAATTTTAAATAGTACTAAAGATTCAATAAATAATTAACATTTACATTATATTACAAATTATTGAAAATTTCTTTGTAAATAACATTTTTAGTTATGTACTCAAAGATTATCTATTATCCCCACAAATCAAAATTTTTTTAAGTCCTTAGATTATCTATCCTCAAAACATCAATATGTAATAGTGTTTGACCCTAATTTTTATTTATTGCACATATTATTTGACCCTAACTTTTATTTATTGTCATACGGGAATTACTTCTTTTGAAAGTTGAATGATAACCTGGGATCTGACGGTATGCAGATAACTACATGTTACCAAGCACAGTATGCAGTTGAATTTTCCCCCTTTTTTCGCCAGTCTTTTAGCCATGAAGCAAAGAGGACATCAAGTAGTGCATTTTAATTACCAAATTTTCTTGAGTTCAGGCATTTTCCAATAATGACTACTGGATGGAGCCGGATTCTATTGTACTTAGTGCACTTATCAAGCATGCTTAATTACTTAATGACAGTCTTAATGAGGATTTCTCATGAATAGTCCGGATTTGAGTGGATTAATAGTTTATGTTTCTCTTGTGATCTTTGCTTTATTTGTTAATCTACTAACCTTCCAAATGTGTTGCTATCTGGTGGAGGCCTAACAATTGGGCAAATTATACCATGGATCCAGGTTTACCTCGCATTGTAGACCATGGTCCAAAAATAACCTTTCAATTCTGTATCTATAGTTGACCAATTCCGATTCTGTACTTGAGCTATCATATTATATGTGTAAGCAATTATCAAGATTGAGTTACAATGCAGCATCTGTTCATAACTACATTCCCAACCTACTGAAACACAAAGAGTCAATAATATCGCATCTGTGGCTCCTCTCATAGAGACCAAATTGGTATCACTAGACCATAAAGTGTTAGCATGTAAAGAATGTGTTAACTGAAGGTACATAATTTTTATATATGTTCACAATGCAATATGAACACTGGTCCATAGTATAACAATTCTAACAATTGTGTACCAGTACATACTGCCCCCCACACATATCAAATCGCCACCAACTTCATAACAATTGTGTATCCATATTCCATACTGCCCGCACCCATAACAATTCCAAGCTAAGGTATCGATCCATGCATTATTGTAATTTCCCACTTGACCTGTGTGGCTGTGTCTGTACTTTGGATTTGGTCCTCTTGTTTGAACTTTGAAGTATTTTAAGAGAAATTTATTTAGAGCATTGATTGTGTTACAAAATTTTATGATTCTATTTGTCCCACTTTATCTGTTATATTTAATATTCATTAGTCATACAAATTATTTCTTCTTTATCCTTTCTTATTTTTTTTTATTAGTTTGTAATTATTTTTAAATTTAAATTTTTATACTACTTTTACTGTAGTACGTACTTTTACCGCAGTTTCTAAATATATAAATTTTATATGCTAGTATTAAACTTGATGTTTAAAAACTTGTAAACTCACAGTACTGTAATTTACTGTATTGTAAAATTTTCCATTAAAAATTCAACTAATCTCATCTAAAGAATAAGCAGTAATTTCTCTCTTTTGCGAAGCTTAAAAAGAAAAGACAAAAGAAATGTACTTACACCCCAAACCTCCGTTTTATTCCCTTTTCTTCACTTTCCTTACATGCAAGTACAAATATATGTCTATTTTTGTCCTTTGACATTTATTAGTTTTACTAGTTTTTTTACGCGTATTGTGCGATTGGGATAATGCCTAATGTTTTTTTTTTTTTTTTAAATAAGTACTTTAAAGTATATCCATGCAAGACTATATTGGACTTGTTCATGCATATAGATAATTATTAAATGTTGAATTTGCGTATTTAAATAGGTAATTCTAAGTTTACAAATACAAGATAATATAGTCAAAATTTATTATAATTGTCAATAAAATAATTGTATAGGTATGGTTGAAACCAAATACAGGAAATAAGGGAGAGCAAATAAAAATTAGGGCATAAAATATTAAATATATACTAATATT